TCTCTCTCTCCTCAAACTCTCTCCTCAACTAAATTTCAGTTGCAAAGACTAATCATGATTAAGGGCCAGAGTCTATGTGTAACTTCTCGGGATGAAAGGTAGAAAAATTAAAGTGTGGTGTAAAGACGCAGCTTTCCCACAACAACAATAGTTTAGAACAGCCTTGAGATGCAAAGCTGACTCTAAAGCAGAACTGCTCTGAGACTTGCCAAGCTACACAAGTTCAAATAGAAAAGAGTTAAATTAGTCAGCAGTGGATTAAGCATCCTGTTGTACTTTCCCTCCTGCTTTGCTCTTGACATCCACGGGTCAGCTTAACAGATTCAGACCAGAAACAGAATCTGTGAGTCTCAGTCACGCTGAGTCACACAGCTGCTGATTTACCAAGGTCTGTAGAACAACGGGAAAACATGTCTCCCAACATTATAAAATGTATAAAAAGAGATAAGCCAATGATCTTTTCTCCTTGCACTGGCAATTTAAAATTCAAGAGCTACACTCATCCCTCTGTACCATAACTGCATGTAGAACAAATATTTGGATGAATGTGGTCTAGATTTGGGGAGATTTCTCAGAAAAGGAATAACAGAGGCAAGTGCTGAACTGTTACTCCATGAGCCTTTGGATGTCTTGTAAAATGGACATGCACATCACGCCCCGTAAAATTTTTAAATCTATTATCAAAACACCTTAAAGCCACTTGATCACTCTGAGCTACAGTTAAATTCAAAAGGTAATGCATAGCAAGAAGTCCTGGGATGTTGACCATGATACATTTGCTATTTAGAGGTTTTGTAACAAAAATTAAAAGCAATCAGTATTGGGCCCTAGTATCTTGTTAGTAACCCATCTGGTGCCTAGAACTTCACCTCTGACACAGAGATGGCAAATGCCACCTGAATTAATACCCACTGATGTCATAGGAACTTTCCAATACTAACAGCTTACTAGCAGATCTTTTGACAAGTGAACTGACCTGGGTTACTTGTTTCTAATGGCAGTAGGCTCCATGGTAGTTTCTTTGCACATTTTTGGGGGCTCCTTCCATAAATCTATTTTTGGCTCATGGTGGATTTAGGAAAAAAGATATTCTGTCTCCTCTGCTTCAAACTGTAGTGTTACTGTATGCATACATACCTATACACTTCACAAAAACTTTCTATAGTGTTTTTTCAAGCTGTAGTTTTGCTGTCACACTGTGGAATTTTTCATGGATCTTCAAGTGCAAAGCTCTCTGAAAGTCACAAGTATTGCAGGAGAGCTGCAGGCAGAATTCCAGACTCAAAGCTACAGATTTCCTGTGCAGCATGAACAGAAAACCCATGGATTTCAAAGTGTGAGACCTGAGCTCAGAGTACCACAACAAAGAAAGCAATAATGCTGCATTATTAATTGTGGCTGGCCTAGGCAGGTCATTTCTGTACCAGGTCTATTGCAGATTTACTGCAGTAACCTGGTCAGCCTGTTAGAGATGAAAATGGGAAATCAGCAGAATCTTTTCTGTAGAAAGAAAACATTTGGCTGAGTGGTCTTTATGAGCTTTAATCATACAAGAAGCCCTAAGGACAGCAACAGCCCTATACTATGTCAGCCTAGTAAATAATGTACAGGAAACAGGACTACAGCTGTTGAGACAAGAAAGTCAGTGTCAGAGCCTGTATTTCTGTTGTATTTCTGTTTTTGACAATTGGTAGGTGTCTCCCTGCTGGCTGCAGAAACTCCAGGAGGTTCAGAGATCAAGATACAAATACAGGTCTCTTGTTGATTTGTAGTGATCCATTGGAAGTTGGCCATGATGCCATCTTCAATCCCTTCCTGAGCATTTACTAATGTAAAAAGGATTATTTGAATGTTTTTGGAATTTTCTGTTCCATGCTGATTTAAAGAAGTTGCTAAACTACAAAGATTTCTTCACAAATAATGAAAATATTTTTGCAAACCCGTGATGTTTAATGTTCTCTCCAGGATCCTCACAAAAGCCTTATTATTGACTTCCTTTCCTGTCTATAACTTCCCTAGTAGAAATACAATTTGATTTCTTCACGTATATACTTGAATTTTAAAATTAAGCCATTTGAAAACAAGGCTCCAAATGAAGCAGTCCCATCCTCAGCAAGGTTACAGAAGGAACTAGCTTCATGGAACTAAGGTTCACAGGGCATGATCGCTGGGATTAAAACCACAATTTCAATAACTCTATACAGTAAAAATATTATCACCATGGCAGAAACCCATCAGTGTATTTCACTGGGTGAAGTTGTTGTCTTCTTCCTGTTTTCTTCTTCTCTTCTTTTGCTGTTTCATAGAGAATTAAATAATGATTCACCCTCTTCTGGAAGCATTAAAACTCACCTCTCCTATGACACTTGTTAACAGCCTTAGTGCACCAGGGTCATGGACAAGAGAGTCTGTGTAAAATGAGCCAAGGTATTTCTTTGGATCCACCTTGTTATCCATCGCACACAAGTCAGGGCGCACGTTGAATCCATGGGAGATTCTCCCCACTGTGTATGGAAAAGCTCCACCTGCAAGAAGAAATTTTCAACAACAGCAGCTGAAAATAACGTAGGAGGGATAAAAAAAAGCCACATTATCACCAAAGACCCACAAGTTTTACTGTCAGCTATTTGGAAAGTGCTCTGCACCAGTAGTTTTTTATTCCTTTCCCTTCGTTAACTTCTTTCTCTATTGTCCTCACTTCTTCACTACTGTGATGTCCAAATTCCTCCTGCTGCTTTTTTGTCCCTTTCCTTAAATCATCTCCTGTCTCTCTTTCCTCCTTGTTTCCCTTAAAGGGTATTTTAGCAGTGTTACTTCTCGGGATGAAAGGTAGAAAAATTAAAGTGTGGTGTAAAGACGCAGCTTTC